CTTAATCTAATCAATTTTCTCCTGAACATTTTTAACAAACAACTTTGACTTCAGAAATACTTCTGATAATTTCCCTCTGACATTTCTAATTTGGAAGATTAATCATCATAATCATTATGTTCTTTCCACCTCCATAAACACCCAACATAAGTTCTTTGTTTATAATTCAGGCAGCTTCTGAATATAAGAAATCAAGTTTAGAAGGTAGTTGATTCATTCAAGGCTGTTGCAATATGAGAAAAGACAATACAGTGCTTTATTCACATAAATTGATTAAATTATATTATTATAATTATTTTACCTTACAGTACTTTTGTTTTTTAAACAATTTTTTTTTTAATTTGTTTTCTAGTAGTACCAAGATGGTAATGTTACTTTGTGAATCAGGGAGCTATATAAACCAGAAGTATTCTGTTAGCTTACTACATTTTATGTTGCACATGGCAGTAAGTTAGTAAAGAAAGGAAAGAAAAAGCAAAAATAAAAAAAATTAAATAAAATGATTAGTGAGGGAAGAGCAGCATAAAAAAATACATACTACAAATTATTCATAATTGTGATGGGAAACAAATACTTGTTGGGAAAGTAAAATTATTGCTCAGAAAAAAATTACAACTTAGAAAAAAAAATTACAAACTAAGGTGGAAAGTGAAAACTTAATTTATTACCATTACAATGGACATTTTGTACGTAAACATACCTCGGTTTATTCTTCCTCTAGTTGAACTAATTTTTGAATTTTGGGGGCTTCAGTCCTATACATGTTACATTCATAGGTTTTTTGGCTAACTATGATACATACAATAACGAGTGGGGATAGGGTGTCCGTGCTACGCGGGCATGTTGTGTCTTCTCGGCGAGTCTGACCGGAATGCCGTTAACGTTGACATGCCGATTTATACGGTTCAAGCCACTGCTTTACAAACCTGATGGTGCAGCGTCCTCGGATCACCGCTTCAGCCATTCAAAAACCGTCTCATTTTTAGCCTTAGTGCTTATGCTCTTCTATAAACAAAACAGTTGCCACGGAGCCGCCAGCGAAAAACAACAATTTCATATCGTGTGCAACTTCAGTTCGGCTTTGGCAAGTTATATAATTGAGCTTAAGAACTATTTAGGTGAACGAAGTTTCAAAGCTAAGTTTACAGTAATCTTTCTAAGTTTTGCCTTTTTACGCTGTCGATTTCACTCACGGCGAAAACATTGTAAAAGTTAACGGCATTTCATGGTTTCGTTGAGGTGTCCGCTGACCAATAAAATACTGTATCGTGCCTTAAAAAACATATTTCCGCGGTGTCCCCTGAATCACTTTCTTTGTTGGAGATTTTCGACAGCTACAACTTAGCAGACACTGTACATGTCATGCTATCTCATGACCAATCAATTTGAAGGGATCCACAAATTTACCGGAAGTAATGCTGTTTTTCCAGCCCGTGTAATAATAGTAATAATAATAATAATAATAATAATAATAATAATAACAATAATAATAATCTTTAGACAGGGTGCGTTCTCACAAAAAGTGGTTTTCAGAACGGCCCTGTATAAAATAAATTAATAAAGGAAAAATAAATACAGATTACAGACATTAAAAAATATATATAAGATAAAGGGATAGAATTGCTACATTACAATATGTAAAAGACGAAAAATTGGTAATTTACAAAATACTACGATAAAGACTGCACTTTCATTTTAAACAATAGAATTGATTTGGATTCCTGAATATCTGGATTGAGATTGTTAAAATCATTTGATGCCTGATATGTTAGTTAACATTGTTTTTGTCACCCCAAATGATATCACCGTAGTCAAGAATATGAAGAATTAGAGAATTATAAAGTATCAACCGAGCGTGTAAAGGTAAATAATGCTTGATTCTTCTGACAAGTTCCAGTCGCTGATTTGTTTTGCTTATGATATTTTTAACGTGATCACCCCAGGATAGATCTTCGTTCAGTGTTACATCCAAGTATTTGAAAGAGCTAGCTTTACAAATTTGTACAAATTTACGTTTTCTTGCCTCCGAAAATGTGTTTAAGCATTGGTAGATAGTAACTGGAAATTTAAAAACCTTGCTAGATAAGTGTTTATGACTGAGCAATACCCAGTAATAAACTACAAACTATCGCCTTATTTATTTCTGCTCCCAGTTCCCGCCCTCATGTAGACTGCTTCCCGCCCCTTGTTCTCCCACTTCCCTCCCTCTCCCGCCCCTTGTTCTCCAGGGCTCCCGGCCCCCTGTCCCCCTCCACTTACTTAGCACGAGGATGAAAACAAGTACAAGGATGTTCACACTAATAACATACGCATACACCGTGCGAGTTACACCATTGAAGAAACAGCATATCGATTGATTGAACTTATGCTTGAGCTTATTTCACTGCAGTTCCCACTTGTGAACCACTTTCCAACGTCAATACAGCTCCAGGAATACCAAAAAATCCTTAAACGAGTCACTTTACGAGCAGTTGGCCGTGAGCGACACGTCAATATCGGACTATCGGCGAGCAGCGACTCAATAGGAACTTTAAGCAGTCAAAACGGCAACGCCACGGAAGACGTCGATTAAAAAATGAGTTTCTTACTTTTAGTTAGAATTTCGAAAATGGCTGAATGTGTTTACCGTCTCATGGGGCGCCAGAGCTCAAACTCAACATAACGCATAAAATTAGCGTTGAGTTCCAAATGTAAATTAGAATAATTTGCCGCCGCCGTTTCGCTTCGCAGACGACGCAAATTTTGATGATTTTACGGGCTATTGTTCTGACAATTAGATCTATTGTTTTTCCACGTTCTCGTTGCCGTAGCCGTCGTGGTTTGCTTAAAGTCCCTATCCGACTATCGGCGAGCAGCGACTCGAGCCGTTTGAGCCCGTGGTTTAAATAACTGAAAGATCAGCGCTTTAAATGTAAAATTAATATTTACATAAAGTTTCAAATACAATTGGTATGATGCCTGAGTGGCCTTCCGGTGATAAGCAATACTGCAGATATCGCTCCCCGAGAAGCGACGTTGGTGGTTCAAATCCGCCGTGTTCGAATTCTTTGTTTTCTTTGTTTCCTTTTTCGAACACAATAATCATTTTCTGGATATATACATTAAAAAATAGAAGTATTGACGCCATAAATGAAATATACACTGCAAGAGATTAAAGCGTATTCGGAGATTGGGCAAACTTTAATTCAAAAATGAAGAACGTATACTTTTTTACTCTTTCACGATTATCATTGGCTTCTTTTTCACCCCAACACTATTCTTAGCAACAAAAGTCGTCATTTCGTTTGTTTATCACTTGCCAAAAACTATCAAATGAATTCAAAAGCCTAAAATAGAAAAAAGTTTACAGGAATCGACCAACCGAGCGAGCGAGCAAGCGCCATTCATCACAGCATACCTACAATTCGCACTTGCGCCTGCGCGCAATTCACAAGTTAAAAAGAAAAATGCAATTGAACTCAAAGTATTTTTTCTAGAAATAGTTCATTCAGACCTATATTCTGGCAAAGTTTGGGGATTTTCGAAACGGCCGTTTGTGGGGAGGGAGACAAAGGGATCCCGAAACAAAGAACGGCTGCGAGAGAAGACTACACCTCCGGGCGATATTTACAGATGGCCGCTCTTAGGGGCCGAGCATTTAACTTTGGATGGGGGGGAGGGGTGGGTGGGTGATTTTTGGTCATCAAGAAATTTTTTTCTTGCAATCTGCTGGGCAGGATATTTTTTTCCGTTCTAAATGCGCTGCAGGATATTTTTTCCCTCCTGATTTCTCTGCAGAAAAAAGGATCATGTGTTTACATATACAAAATGTATTTACACTGTGGTCATTGCAGCAATAGTTCTAATATAGCTATAATAGCTCCCTTTGTCTATTAGAACTTGATTCATTAATAAAAAAAAATTTACCTCCATTATAATACTGCTGAAGATAGCTAATAATGCATTGCATGTATGAAGCAATAATTTTTCAGCATCATCAAAAGGAGCAATGGTTGCAGTTTTGCTGCAATTTTGTAAAGCCCCCGGAATGATGAAACAGCTTTGCAACATTTTTTTTTTCTTTCTTACTGCAACGCAAGAATTTTTTTTCTGTTACATTTAGGCTGCATGCAATTTTTTTCTTCCAACAAGCGCTTGCAGGAAATTTTTTTTCAAATCACCCACCCCCTCAAGAATTTAATGGTCGGCCCCTTAAGTGACTTCCCAATGGCCAGTCAATCAAAACAATAGCGATCGCATAGCGTGACACATACTATTGAAACATGGCGCAATTTAATCTCCACCTTTGTTTCTGTGTAGCTTTTCTCGCTGCACTTCTTCCCCTAACTTCAGGTGAGCATACTAGCATATGAAATCTACTCGAGAGGCTTATTTTATTTCTACATTTAGCGAAAATGGTCGGAGATATCAGTCAGTTTTGAGTGCTGAAGCTTAAAACTTTGCGTCGATATTCCCGATAGGAGAGCTGAGGCGGGTTTTTAATTTTTTTTTTCTTTTTACTGTAAAGTGATCTCGAAACGAACGGGAAAGTTGCAAAGATCTATGTGTTTATAAATAGCTTAGTTACGAAGGAAGGAAATATTTACGGAAGTTAATTTACTTTAAAATTCAGCAAACAGACAGAGTCTAAAACCAATATTGTTTCAGGGAAGCTATCGGTTGGTAACATTCGCATAAATTTCTGGTCAAAGCACCCTCAGAAATTATTGTACCTGTTGTATCTACTCAATTATTGTAGTTATACAGTTTAGTGGAAAGATTTCCATATAATCCACCACCAGTCAAAGTCAAAGGTAGTTGCAAAGATAGTTACTATTGTTTCTTTTTCGCCAAGTGTATGTATATATTGAGGTATGGACTAATTCTCGTGGTTTATGCATATTCCACTGGAATATGCATAAAAGGAAAGCTGTTCATGCTGAGCATGAACAGCTTTCCTTTTGATTAGCCTGTACATTCCTGCCTCGCCCCCCATTTAAACTAAAAATGACTTTCTTTTT